CGGCCGCTGCACCGCCTTTCCTCCCGTCGCTGCACCGGCCCGGGGCACATCAAGTCCACGCTCCGCTGCAAACCTGGAAATCCTCTCCATCTGGTCGGCCTCGAACTTCAGTTGAGTCCGTTTTCCGATCTCGTACAAGGCCTCATCAGTGACGACCTTGCAGTAATTGGTCTGCACGAAGTGCCTGATTGCCTGGAATAAAGTCCCCTGGAATACTTTGTTGCAAAATGTGCAACGCAACATCATCACCCCTTTGTTGTCGACCTTTTGGCCGACAACAAGGTACCGATACACAGGGGACTTTACCCTGAACATGTCCTGCACATCTTGAGAAGCGGGCTCATGCTCGCGCCGTTGTGCCCTCCCCATCGCAAGTGTCCCGTTTGCCGCTCTGAACCTTCGACCCGAAGACCTGTCGACCTTTCGAAATGAACCCTAGAAACCAACCAACACAACCTTCCCTTTCCTCGGCCCGTGCACCTGTCGTACCCGCCCCAACCCCCCCCTGCTTCCACCACAACACCCCCCGAACGCCCGCCCGACCACGCCGCCCGACGCGAACAGGCCCCCGAACGGCCGCGTTAAATCGCGTTAAATCATGTTAAACGCAATTGAACGCGTTTAACGTCGTTGAACTAAAATTTCAATGGCGTGAATTCGCTCTGTGCGCCGAGGTGCAGAACAGCGGTCATCGTCCCCGCCGCTGCAACAGTCGCTCCCGCCACGCTGCGATCTTCGTCCCCGCTCCAGCAGCCGCTCCCGCTGCTCCTCTCTCTCTCTCTCTCTCTCTCTCTCTCTCGCGCCCGCGCGCACACGCGCGCGCGTGCGCGCGTGCGCCATAGCGATGTCTTCAACGCAGGTACGTGGTAAGCCAATCTTGTATCGCTCAACCCCTCTCTCTCTCTCTCTCTCTCTCTCTCTCTCTCTCGCACGCGCGCGCGCGCGTGCGCGCGCGTCGTGGCGATGTCTTCAATGTGAGTACGTGGTAAGCCAATCTTGTCTCTCTCTCTCTCTCTCTCTCTCTCTCTCTCTCTCTCTCTCTCTCTCTCTCTCTCTCTCTCTCTCTCGCTTGCTCGCTCGCTCACACCCTTGCGTTGGACGCAGGGGGAACGCGTTTGTCGCGTTGACGCGTTCGGGCTCGCGCGGCAAATGAGGTGCGGCCGAACTGAACGACCTTTTTATGTAGCCGTTCCCCCAGGGCCCGAGCAGGCCGTCCAACCCCATTACCCCGCGGAAGCCCTGCTTGACGTCGGGCCGATATCACACGGGTTTTTCATTTGTTTTTTCAAAAAAAAAAAAAAAAAAAAAACCATGCAGGAGGCGGTACCCGACAAGAATCCCCACCAGCCCACACCTTTAGAAACCCCGACCCCCCCCCCCAAACGCGCGAAAACCCGGTTCGCGGACCCCGTTAATTCGCGTCCAACGCGTTTTTTAATGGGATTTTAACGCGAATTTAACGCGCGTTAAATTATTTAACGCGAGGCCGTTGTTAAATCCAGTTTCGGGCACACAGGTGGTTGGGAATGTTGGCCTCCTAACAGATCCTGCAGGTGCGGACGTACTCCTTAGTGAAGGGACGACGGTGCTCCCAGTAGTAATGGCGGTAAAGGCGGTCAAAGTGTCTTGAAGACACCGGGGTGACCGGCGGCGCGCTGGTCGTGACACTCAGTGACAGCCCGAACGTGGAGCTCGCCAATAGAGGGCACACATAAGCGAGGAGTACGGGTACCTTGGCGACCAAGCCAATATAGGAGTCCAGAGGGATCGAGCTGGAAGTTAGGGACGGACTTGCAAGCCTGTAGGTCAGCGTAGATGGACTGAAGCTCAGGGCACTGGGTGTATGCGCGGCGATACTCATCCAGAAAGGCGGGGTGGATGGTGGCAGTTGAAATAGCAGATAGCTGACGATCCTCGCACTGAAGGCCGGGGCGGCGAGATAAGGCATCTGCTACGCGATTGCTTTCGCCGAAAATCTTCTTGATGGTGAAATCGAACTCGGAGAGGTCACGCCACCAGCGGGCCTGACGAGAAGTGAGCCTAGGCTTCGTCTGGAAGGCGGTGAGGACAGAGTTGTCCGTCAAAACGGTGAAAGTGTGACCGTGCAAGTGATGACGCCACTTCTTAACAGCGTAAACCAGCGCAAGGACCTCGGTCTCGTCGGCAGTATAGTTACGCTTAGCGGAAAGTAGCTGTCGAGATAGATAAGCAACCGGACACTTTCCATCGCGAGACTCGACTGTACCGTCATCAACGACGTCAGGAATATAAGGGGGTGGGGCCCCTGAGGGGGTGGGCTGGATGGGTCCAAGATGAGCCGCAGTCGCCGGAGGTGGAAGAGGGAAGCGAGGAATGCGAGGGAGGCGGGACTCTGTGAAATCGGGAGAAGTAGAGGGGGCTGGGTAGATCTAAGAGAGAACAGCTCCAATAGCGAAGTCGGATGCGTCGGTGGTGACGATGAATGGACGCAAGTAGTCGGGTAAGTGTAAGACAGGAGCTGACGTGACAAGTCGCTTGAGAGAGCGAAAAGCATCCTCGTGAGCCGGGGTCCAATGAAAAGGTAGACGTCCGCGAGTTAGAGGGGTAAGCTGGGAAGAATATTGCGGGTAGTTTTTAAGAAAATGACCATAGTAGTTGGTCTACCCAAGCAAACTACGCAGCGCAGGAAGAGAGGTAGGAGTGTGTCAGTCGACAATGGCCTGAATCTTCGAGTCGTTCATGTGGAGTTTGTGCTCGGAGACCTGATGCCCGAGGAAGTCCACTTTGGGTAGAGCGAAGCTGCATTTGGAAAGCTTCACATAGAACTCGTGATCCCGTAGTCGCTCTAGGACAGTGCGAAGGTGGGTCAGGTGATCCTCTAGGGTACGACTGTAGATCAGGATGTCGTCAATGTAGACTAGAACATAGTCCTCAAGAAGGTCTTGGAACATCGTGTTCATAGCTGTCTGGAAAGCGCCGGGGGCATTACAGAGACCGAAAGGCATGACGGTAAACTCGTAGTGCCCGAAACGAGAACGAAAAACAGTCTTGGGCATAGTCCTCAGGTTGGCGCTTGATTTTCTAGGCTTCGGGAACCGAAAGGCGAAAAGGGGCGTGATTCTGAATGCGATAGTTGGGCTCGAGCTGGATGTGGTGCCCGATACCACGCATGGGAGGAATGCTGCTATAGGAGACGAATGGTGGAAAAACACCGTGATACTCACGAAGGAGGGCACCAACGCTAGGGGGCAAGGAAGAAAGAAGGGTGTCAAATTCCTTGGCAGCGGCAGCGTCTGAAGCAGAGGTGGAGGGGGTCTGTATGGGGGTAGGGATTGAGGGTGTATCAGTGGTAAGGGAAGCGAGAAAGTGAAGTGGGCTAGGAGGGGTAGAGGAGGTTAAGCTGAGGAATCAGGAGGGTCGGGGGGCTCGGGAGGTGGTGGATCGAGCTCGACCAACTCAACGTCCTGATGCATGGAGTTGCAGGTGAGGAGATCCTTAATGTCGACAACATAAAGTTCTACATCAGGCTCACGAAGGAGGTGGTGGAACTGGGTAGGTGTATAGGTGGTGACATTAACAGGGGGGGGAAGTGTAGAGTCTGATTTGCCCAACAACGGAATACGGTATTGTGTCCCATCCTTTGCGTCGAGGACGAGATCGTTGTGGGTCCAATCGGGGCCGGCATGAGCGAACTGATGGGAATAGGCAGTGCCAAGAACGAGATCATATAGGGTTTCCATGACATGAAGGTCCACTTGTCATGGAACCGAGGGGCCTTGCGAAGGCTGTGGG